GAACAGGAGAAGGTTAGAAAGGAGGTGGAACCTGATGGATAATAACTTAAAAGCTGCCAAGGTTGCGTCTAACCCTTACCTTGCTAAGGTAAAGGTTGCCAGGAAATCTTACTTCGCTGTCCGAATAAGTGAAGCATCCAATCAGCATGATCTATCTGGAATTGGCCACAATGATTGGCCTCCATCTAGCATTTCTTGTGACCAATTTGCAGCATTTTAAAAATCAAAAGTGGAGGCCATCTGCCAGGAGCATGCACCCTATTTGAAAACAGTGGATCAAGCTGAGACATCCAGCGCAGCGCCTTGTCCGTTGAGAATTACTCAGTTTCAACCTGTGATGCCCACAGAGGTGGACAAGGTCCTTGATCCCTGTCGAGCCTCCTCCTCTTCCCTGGACTCTTGCCCAGCCTGGCTAATCAAAGCTGCCAGGCTAGTGACAACTGAATGGGCTACTGAAATAAAAAATGGGTCTCTTCTTGAGGTCAAGGTTCCTCTTGCCCTCAAGGAAACACTTATTCAGCCCATTAGGAAGAACCCAGGCTTGGCGGCGGACAACATTGGCAATTATAGGCCCGTTGCCAATGTTTCTTTCCTCAGTAAGGTAGTTGAGAGGGTGGTGGCCGATCAGCTGCAGGCTCTTCCGGATGAAACCAATGCCCTGGATCCATTTCAGTTGGGCTTCAGGCTGCACCATGGTATGGAGACAGCATTAGTTACCCTGCTGGATGACCTACTTAGGGAGGCTGATGGGCAAAACGTCCTTATTGGTTCTTGATATCTCAGCCAACTTTGATACCATCAACCACAGTTTCCACCTGGAGAGGCTCTCTGAGTTGGGGATCGGTGGCCTTGCTCTTGTTTGGCTCTGGACCTTCTTGGAGAGTCAGCTCCAGAAAGTTCAGCTTGGGGAGGAGGTATCCGCCCCATGGTCCCTCAGTTGTGGGGTACCGCAGGGTTCAATCCTCTCCCCAATGCTGTTTAACATATATATGAGGCCGCGGGGAGGTGGTCATCCAGGGATGTGGAGCTTTGTGTCACCAATATGCTGATGACACCCAGCTTTACATTTCCTTTGTTCCATCTGCAGTGGATGCCGTTCCATCCCTTCAGTGCTGCCTGGAGACCGTCCTACAATGGATGCAATCAAATGGACTATGGTTGAATTATTATTATTATTATTATTATTATTATTATTATTATTATTATTATTATTATTATTATTATTATTA